GTCTAAGAAAGTCTTGAAATAGTTTAAGATGTTAAAATCTCTTCAGAGGTATGTAGAAACCTCAATTAGAATTTATAAAAAGGTTATTTAAAAGCACAGTGGGATAAAAAGTATCATCATTTAAACTAGTTAATGAAATAACAGTGTTGAAAAACTTCTCAGATGTGAAGGATGGAACAGGAATCTGCAGTTGCCTGGCATAGTATATTCAGCTCAGAGGAACAACTGCTTTTCATTTGCTATGGTGGAACAAAGTCAGTGCAGATACAGGAGGAAATTCTTGTAGCCTATGATGCTCTTTAGTAGTGTCTTCCATCATTATCGGTCTTTATTATTCATGATCTTATAACGCTTTGGGCCTTTAGCTGGGATCTGTCCAGGTGTGGTTGGTACCACAGAAGATACAGAAGTTCCCTGCTGCCCCAAATTGTTTATGGTCAGAGGTCCTGAATGTCCAGCAGTTTACATCCCACAGGGATGATACCACAGATGTCAACAGCTTTGTTTATAGACACAAAATTAGTTTGTCTAAGTGCATTGTCATGGGAGATAAACTCAAATACATCATGAGAAATGTCACATGGGCTCCCCTAGCAGGTGCACAAAGCACAAGGTAACAGTGGCTCCGTCTGTCAGAGTACACCAGTTGCTTAGATGTGCTCTATGAGCGTACTGAAGGGAATTTTAGGGAGGAGGTCAGGAAGAGGCAGGGTCACTAAGTGGCCTTGCAGTGTCTTAGATGGATCTCCTCTGGTCTTGGCAGCCCAAGATGAAGCACAAATGTATTTGAAGAAAACTTGACCTTAAATTTACAAAGGCAGACATTAGTGGCAGAGCACAGGCCAGTACCATCAGTATGTATGAAACAAATCACAAGGTGGGACCGTGCTGTCACAGATCTTATGTTGAATGAGAGACCACTCAAGCACTCATATACCATCCTGGGAGCTGCACACATGTCACCCGAGGCTTTAACTGCCAGGACCAAAGCCTCTTCACAGCGTGTGAATCCAGTGAGCCAATGCGTGCCCCCTCCGACTCCTTTCACACACACATTTTCACCCTGGAGAGCTTCTCCCCTTCCAGGTTCAGCTCTAGTTTTCCCATAGCAGAGTCTCGGATACTGCATCTTCCAAAAAAAAAAAAGGTCTGGGATCTAACACCTTATTGGATTCTTGCTCTGTCTTCAGGCAGGCTGTTGACTGTTCTCATCTGGTTGTTGGTTGTGGCCTCCTTTTCTTCTGGTCTGTGCTTCTTGTGCACCTGCTCGCTCTGCCAGACTAAACTTGGGATAAGCACTACTTAGCAACATCAAAAAACCTCAGTATCTTAACATTATTCTTACACTACTTCCAAAACATAGCACTGTACCATATAATAAGAAAATCAACTCCATCCCAGTCCAAAACATGTCCAAGTGGAAATTTCCAGTTTGAGGCCTAAGATTTTAGAAAATCTAGCTACTCATGCTGCTAGTAACAAACAGTTACCAAATTACCAACATTATGCTATAACCCCTGTGTCGTAATGCTAAATGGTTGACTCTGAGCAATTAATTCTATTTAAAACTTACTTATTGAAATGAAAACACTAGTATTCCTTAACACTTAAAAGTGAAAGATAGAACTTTGAGCTGACTAAAAACAGAGGGAACAGTAAACCCAAGACACACAGGTTGTAGTTTTATAGGTGCAGATCTTGGCACACCCTCAAAATTAATTGTTAACCTAATAATAATAATGATCTGCTCAAGAGATAATTAACTTGTAACCAAACGAACATGGTCCTTCTCCCCCATTTGTGCCGTAAAACAAATAATAGAAAACAAGGCTATAAAATTTTCCATTTTATAAAGGATTATTGAATAGTAACCCATTTTATTGTATAATTTTCACAAGTGATAATGTCATAAAGAGACGTACCAGTTAAGAAACCCCTGCCTTATCCCCACCACACTACTCAAGATTGCTGCACTACCAGTTTCAGCCACTGTCTGATACAGCAGAAAACCTAAGAGAGGGAGTCAGACAATGCCAAGAAAAGCATCGGCAGAGCTAATGCAAGAAATTCATACCCATTTCCTCCACTCATTCCTCCCTCATGTACTAATTCCATTTTCCTTTTCTCAGTCCTGCATCATTGGCTGTGTTTTATTAGAAGTGCACAGTGCCCACGATGGGGAGGGCTGAGAGTGGTAAGAGGGCTTCTGTTGATTTGGGGTTTTTTATTCCAAATTGATCACTGGCCATGCTTACAAAGCAAAATTATTTCCCCTGTTCCTCTACTGATACACACTGGTGCACACGGATGTCTATCAGTGATACAGTAAAGGGTAATGGTGAGACATTCGGGTATCTCTCATTATAGCTACTCCAAACTGCAGGATACGCAGCCACACTGAGAGGTGATGGGCCACTACTCTGATTTTACACACAGGGTGAAAGCCAAACCTTCCTCTATTCCTTGTTTTCATCTGAATAAGCAGAACAAGGTCGGCGAGCTCAGTGTCTGGTTTCCCTGGGGCAGTAGAATTGTGCTTTACACTGTTTGCTTGGTGACAAATCAGTGCAGTGCAGGTCAGGTGCTGTCCTTGAAGACAGGGGTCTGTTCATATGGTTACATATCAGCAATCAACACGGCACAAGCTAGACCGGAGCCTTACAGGGCTCTTTCCCAGGTCATCCTGCTGTATGAGTGAGGAGGCACCAGCTGGTCCTTAGCCCAAACGTCCAGTTGCATACAATGATCTTTAAGGGCGTAAAATAAATGTGCTTTCTGCTCGGGCAAGCTTCCTCTGTCGGTTACTAACTTTCCAGTTCACTAAGAGTTGGTCTCCACCAACCACCTACATCCAAGGTACGAAACTGAGCACTGTTTGCACACAAGTGGGTGTGTGGGCACATGTTTTGTCAGCTCCATGGTCTGTTTGTTTGAATGGCAGTCAGTCTCATCTGCAGAAGGTGTCAGTGAGACCTGCTATCTGTGGCGACAGGTGAGAAACAGGTATTTTGCTATTGTTTTGCTCCTTTCTGCCATTTGCAGACATGAGGAGCATTTCAATTTGGCATCCGAGGCAAAAGTCACTCCAGCAGGCTTCTCCACCAGCACCTGGCTGAGTGCAGGAGTCCAGCTGGGGTCACCATCTAGTCATGCTCCTTCCTGTGACATCTGTGACAGGAGAGACAACCCTCTCCTGATGTGAAAGGCAAGGAGAGGGGATCAGGCTGCCTGACTAAAGAACGCCAGTAAGGGGCAAACCGCCTTTCCAGGAGCTGTGCTGTGGATTTTAAGGTGAAAAAGCCAACCAATGAGTGAAAGTATATCAGGATGGGTGGGGGATATGAATTCAGAGCATGCGAGGATGGTGTTTTCTGTACAACCTGTGAAGACTCTTGGGAGCAGAGGCCTGGGCAGGCTGGTGAGAGCAGGCAGGTGGTAGCAATTGGTGTTGCAAGGGCATGTCTGCAGGGCAGACCATGACAGAACACAGCCACAGCAAGCAGTGTGCTGCCGCTCTTACAGTCACTGCTGGCGGTGACGTGACCACCACCATCTATGACACTACATAAAACCAGTAGCGCCAAGTGCCTGCTTCACCCATGCTGCTTCACGCCTCCGGAGGCCTTGGTGCCGTTCTGGTGTAGGCTGGCGGTAGTGATCGCTGTCGTTGTGTGACGTTTTTAAAAGCTATGAAATTGTAGAGTTCCCCCGTAGACAGTACAGGGCAATGAAAAGCAGCAGAGCTCCAAGACAGAAGGAGCAAAAGTAAATTCAGAGCAACAGGGGTTTGCTTTCTGAAGACATTAAGCAGTTTTAAGACTACGCTAGTCTAAGTAAATGAACACACCCTTTTTATTACTGAGGCAACCAAAGCGGGAAGAATGGGAACAGCCTGCTATAGGTGAAGCCAAATGAGGTGTTGCCTAGTAACTCTCAGCAGGGAAGCGTTTAAACCCGGCCAGTTTAGTGAAGCTGATGTTCTGACTCAAGACATTATTTTCTCTGGAAAAAAATCTGAAAGTAGGAAAGCTCAATTTAACAAACATACGATTTATTTTCCTGTTAGAGCAAACCACGGCGATAATGCTTGGGAGAAAACAAGCAGTATTTACAAACTGGTACAAGGAAGAACAGACAGGGCGTTTTCAACAAAAGCATTGCTTTACTGAACATGTTTTTTGATGCTGATTTTTTTCCCCCTAAATAGAATAAACTTCACATTCATTTTTATTTTCAGATTCTGAAACACACAAGTCATAACAGAAGTTCAGAAACATTACACAGATCATTAGTTTATTATAATATTATTTCTGCAAGAGGAAGTTCCTGGAGCAAACATCACTTCAGCTCTGCTATTGGGGACAGAATCAAAGCCATCGATTCAAAAGAAAAAAAGACTCCATGTCTCCACTGGTTCCATTGCCTGGAAGAGTTTTAATTGGGCCCTCCTTCAGGACTTTGCTTTTATGGGCTCACAGAAAAGTCACTTGGCTTGGCTAAAGGTCTCTCACATCAGGGTAAAAAGCCCCCTCAAACCTTATTTGGAGATTCATGTTATTTTTGCTTCCCTTTAGAAAGATATGATGATTTTACAGAAGTAAAAGCTCTGGCACAATCAGCCATGTACATCTGTATTGCTGGGTGCCACAACTCCTGTTCAGCATAGGCAAAGTCAGGTTCAGGAGAGCACGTCGTTTCAGCAGCCTCAACACAGTTAATGATGACAGTTATGGAAGTGAACTATTGCATAGATTTCTTTTTGAATTAAAAAAATACAATAAACAGATCAACACTTAACATCACACTAACTATGAAAAGGCAGACTGCCAATGAGTTATCACAGAAATATGTATTTTATCAGCACTGATAATAGCTGGAAAGCAAAGCTGCAATGGCCTAAGTATTAAAGTTTGAGTTCTATATAAAAAGCATGAGTGTTTTTCACAAGGCTGTTGTCTGAGGAGTGAAAGGGTGTTCTGCAAGCCACAGAGATCCACTTCTCACTGATCAGAGTCTGGTTTGAAGTTCAGTGAAACTCTGCTGCTACAGAACCTCTGCCCAAAAGGTGTGGGACCATCATCAAACACACGGCCTAGGTGGGCATCACGCTGCGACAGAAGCGATGGTGTACCATTATTACTCTTACACCTCCGGACCAGCATTGTGCTGGAACCTACTGTTTTACCCTGAATGAAGAAGCCTGTATGGTGAATTCACTGTTGAGTTGTGTGGGTGGGGGAGTCTTGGGGAGAGATTAGAAATACATCCTGGAGTAATGACGCCTGGCCTGTGGGTGAGTATCTGTCCCCAGAGTATCAGATCCCAGAAGAGGAAGTTGAAAGGTACTAATGCCAAAAAGTATAGGAAATAAATGGGATGGATCTACAATTCTCAAGACTTAATAAAATTTTCAAGTTAATTAAGACAGTCATTGTAGGTCCTTCTCAGAGGTCAACTGCGGATTCCCCTCCTGCTCCTCCCACCCAGATTACTGATGGGAAGAAGACTCAGAATAGCTGTTCATTATAAAATTGGAAGGTTGTCTTCAGCTGGGGTTCATGATTACTGGGTATTACTGCAAACATGAACTATGCCATGATAATGGACTGCAACGAATGCTTTTGCAGATAATACCTAATCCTGCTTGGAGGGGCTGCAATTCATTAAACTCGTTTGCATACTTTTATATCTTAACAGATGTAATAAACAGAACAGACTCAGGGTTGGGAAAAAATGGCTGGGGGTGGCAGCTCTTTAGAAAAGGACCTGGGTATTACAGCAGGTCTGAGTACAGGTATGAGTGGGGAAAGGGAAAGGTGTAAGGACAGGAACACTTCCAGAGCAGGAATAGCTACCATGGAAGGGTGGCTTCAGAAAAGTGAAAGAACTCACAGAAGGCAGCTGTGAAGGTGCAGGGCACCACCACCGCTGTGCGGGGAAAATAGTAATAATCTTCAAATGCTGCAATGCAAACCCTGTGTTTTCTTCAGTATCTTACCAACAGTAGGAAGCCATGAATGTTACGACTCATTAACTATTGGGACTTTGGATCTCCATCACAGCTTATGCAAACATTTAGCAGGATTGAATTAGGAAGCAGTGGGTCTGTGATGGGGCAAATGGGTGGGCTAAATCTCAGTCTCTTCTGCTGACTGTTGTCTCATACTGCAGTCCACCTGAGGTCCTCTATATACATTTCCTGTCTGAACGCCAGCACTTGGCTATACTTACACAACTACTTCCCAGTCACACCATTTTCTTCACCCAAACTGACTGTCTACATCACATAAGAAGGCCAATGGCATCTTGGCTTGTATCAAAAACAGCGTGGTCAGCAGGTCCAGGAATGTGATTCTGCCCCTGTACTTGGCACTGGTGAGGCCGCACCTCGAGTACTGTGTTCAGTTTTGGGCCCCTCACTACAAGAAAGACATTGAGGTCCTGGAGCGTGTCCAGAGAAGGGCCACAAAACTGGTGAAGGGTCTGGAGAATATGTCTTATGAGGAGCGACTGAGGGACCTGGGCTTGTTTAGCCTTGAGAAGAGGAGGCTGAGAGGAGACCTGATCACTGCCTACAACTACCTGAAAGGAGGTTGTGGAGAAGTGGGTGTTGGTCTCTTCTCCCTAATGACAGATGATCGGACGAGGGGGGATGGTCTCAAGCTGCGCCAGGGGAGGTTTAGAGTGGACGTAAGGAAGAAGTTCTTCACCGAAAGGGTTATCACACACTGGAACAGGCTGCCCAGGGAGGTGGTGGAGTCACCATCCCTGGATGTGTTTAAGAGACGGATCGATGAGGTGCTGAGAGATATGGTTTAGTGGCGGACAGATACGGTTGGACTGGATAATCTCTAAGGGCTTTTCCAACCCAGTGATTCTATGATTCTATGATATTTAGAAATCTACTCATGTGTTTCATAGAAAGGAGACAGAATAGTTGCAGTGATACTGTAATTCTTACTGCTAGATTTAGGTAGATTTATTCACGGGCAAAAAGAAAACTTACTTGTTAAGATTTGGGTCTTTGGGTATCACCTCCAAAATAAACATACCTCTTTGCAGATGACTTCATTCCTAGTTGATCCTAGCGAGTTACTTGGTCGTCTCATGATATTGGTATTACTTTCGTCTCTGCCACAGGTACCAAAAGCCTCAGAAAATGATGGCCATCCAGTCCCAGAATTGTACTTCTTCTCTGAGCTATAGGGGAAACCGGGTCTTGTTAATTAATAACAGAGATGTTACAAAAAGATCTGTTTTTAATAAGAATGTTGAGTTTTTTCCTCATCCTTGTCTTGTACTATAATTAATAGTATTTGGCACTATGGAAGTTTTCTTACTGGCATCAAACTGTGCTGGAAACTCCTCACCAAAGGGAATTCTTGATCAGCCCACAAAAGGAGCTTTTGCTTCTCCCTTTCTATTTCACTGAGAGGCATTTCATAAAGCTTGAAAAAAGTTTTTTCCAACAACAGAGCACATCGTTTAGCTGAATTATGCCTGCAAAGTTGCAGGTCGAAGCCTGGACCAGTACAGCACAACCTCAGCGGACAGAATTTACAAGAAGAAATGAAGTATGGAAAATGAGTATGGAAAATGGCTGGGTCAGCCCACCAGACCAGGGTCGCATCTGATGATGGCTTTGGCTTGCAGTCAGCCATCAAAGTGATCTGGTAAATCAAACAGAGCCTTGCTCAAACCTTCCATCAACCAATGACAAGTCCTCACAGCAATAAGATCTACTTTTCCCAAGGCATAATCACAGCCATCAGAACAGTACTGACAGGCTGTCAGCTTGTGGGTACCTCCTGCTATGATCCAGGACTACCAGCCCCGTTTAGGTGCATATTAGAACTTAGAGCACATTGGATAATATGATCAGAAAACATTTTGGGAATTTAGCATACAGAATGAGATAATCCCTCCTATTTAAAGTTGTGCAAGCTTTGATAGCAGTAAGTACTTCTTTCCTAGGGAAGAGCGACCTAGTGTGTGTTAGAGTGAGACATGAAGACTCAGGTACTACTCGGCTAAGTGGTCTGGAGACCCTCCACGACCCTTTCCTCCTGATTTCCCACGTTTTAGCCCAGTTTTACAAACCCAATGCTCTTACTGTCATCTAGTGGTGGATGGAGACAGCAACAGCAGCAGCAGCTTTGCTGCCATCAAGGGGATTAGTCCGTTAGCCAATACAGAGTGTACAGCAAAGCATCTAGTATAGTTCATGTATATTTTGGTGGGATATTAATACGGTGAAGAAACATCTGAAAATGTTACTTGCAGTGTCTTTTAGAAAGACAAGACAAAGGAGCTGGGCAAAAAGCTTACATAGTCCAACCCGAAGAACACTGCGTGCTTCAGCATGAATTTTACAATGAACTGTACAGGGCTGTCTTTGAGCAGCGCAACTGTGGAAGTAAAAGGGGATTTGCAATCACAGAATGAACAAAAGCTAGTTTTTGTGCAGGCTGTTGCTCAGCCCTTCACATCAATCCCCAACGACCCGGCAGAAGTATTCTCCTACCTCCTCCCTTCCATAAAACTGGGGAGGAACAGGACTCAGCCCAGAAGCCGGCCGCACCGAAGAAATGCAGTTTGCAGACTCTGCGTTTGTCTGAGCAGGTATTTAGGGCTCCAGGCCTATTTCTTTCCAGCCAAAGAGGGCTCCCTGCCTTCCCCGCTACAAAAACCACACAAACACTGTGCCTACCAGTCAGAGTCCAGAAGAATAACCTGGGGGAACTCAGATGTGCATACATGACTTCTGTGTTTCCCTGACATATACCTGTGCTCTCTCTTTTTTATTTTCAAAGGATTTCAATCAGAACTCTTCATCTTTTTTGGACACAGGGACCCTTCTGTTTATTCATGCATAGATACGAGGATCCTTTCTGAAACCCTGTAGTGCCAAGGAAGGTCTTTAATGCCATGTGGGTTTTGCATCTGACCCTGGCCGACTCCGTCCCTTACATGCCACTCACAATATTTAAGTTTATTGTAGATGTTTTCCACTGCTAAAGGATCAATCTTTTGAGCTGTTAAACTAGCTCTCAACAGAAATGGTCTCTGTGTGGTTTTACTAACAGTAATATCAGTTAGATTCCTTAATAGAAACATTTTAGTACCCAAAAATATTGCTGTTCAAGATCATATTTGTCCTTTGAAGTATTTCACCACTTAATTTATGGATAAATGGACTTTCCCTAAACATATGCATTAGATTAGCCTTCGACACACCATTCCTCCAGCACATGTCATTTACTTTGATCCCTATTTCAGTCGTCCTGGATGGAATCCAGATAATTCTAAAAAGTGCTTTTTGCTGTATGAATCTCAGCTGTAGGTTTATGGTTTGCTGAAGGTTTGAGATTTCATTAAAGCACCACAATTTGCTATCTATAAAGGTTAGGGGGTTGTTCCATGTACTCCCAGCTCTTTCAAATGAGTATTTTGTAGCAGAAGGTAATAAATTCTGGTATAAATGTACACACACACACATATATTTTGAAAGAAAGTAGGAAATGCTTCATGTTTACCTGTAGCTAATGATGTAATGTATTTGAAAAAGAAAGGACATTTTTAATGCACTAGGAAATAAACATGATGAATGACTCTCTTATCAAATACCATATTTTTTTTCTCATTGTTACTGTCCTCCACAACATAATGCATTCATGAAAAATATATTTTCAGCCCATTTTGCACATTTAATAATTTTCAATTTTCTTAAAAGGCTTTTTTCTGTAAGGTGTTTTTGGTTTTTATTATTTCCCTGTATCAGCCTGTAAGGCTCAGCATTATTTTATGCTTTAAACAGAAGTACCTATATTCTCTGAGAGCTGAATACTGCAAAAAGCATCATGACTGTTTGGTTATATTGTTGTTTTGTTATTAGTTTAGCAGCAGAAGCAATTCCCTCCGGTGTTCATCTCTCTTCATGCTGGCCTGTCAATATCTATTGTCTAACATAAAGAATGCCTAAATTGAAGGAACATTTGAAGGAATTCTTCCACAGCGTAGTAATTTTAAATTTCTCTAATTTATCAGAATTACTCAGAGGTATTTTTAGGTTCTGTGTTTGTCTTCAGACTATTCTGCAATGCTGCACTAGCTGCTGAGATAAATTTGTTTAAAAGTGTTTGTAAGCAAACTGCTACAGAAAAAGGAAACATTTAAGCAATTATTTATTTACACAGCAATAGGTTTCTGTACTCGGCTGAGGGAAAACAAACTATTCACAACTATTGTCATCCAATTTTACCATTTAATTGCTTACTTTAGGTTTATTTTTAACGCAGTCTTTACGTTTTCCCCTCTTTCTTACTATCCAGAGCTCTTGTTCCTCAGCTCCCCATTTGAAGTTCTGCTCTGTGACGTATCCTTTAAAGTCTTCATAAAAATGGCCATATCAGCCATATTCCATTGAACTCTCAGTTGGGAATAAATAAAGGCTATTTGCTAGATCAAAAATATGAGGAACTGTCTTTTTGGGTTGTTACAGAGAACAGAACACCTTCTGCACATCCTACTCCAGGGCAATCTATTTCCTTTTCCTTAGACTTTAATGAAGTTACAAAATATATAGTATTATAAAAAGCACAAAGGTTAATAGCGCAGTCGTTCACAGCCAGGTTTAAAAAAGTAGATGTAACCAAAAAGGCAGAAATAGTGGAATTTAATTTAGGGAACAAGAAGGGGGTGGGGATGAAGAGGAGGTCTCAGGTCCAGTATGAGGGAGCCAGCAGTGAGACCGTAACAACAGCTAGACCATGGCACACCGAAGGGCTCTCTGGCCCAGCAGCATGAGTGGCAGAAGATGAGCACAAGAACAGAGCAAACATACAGCAATGCTTATGCATAAATACACAATGCTGTGGCAGCTTGTGGCTTAGGGACCTCTTACACAGAATTGTTATCAACCAAAAAGGACAGTGTGTGGGGCAGGAGACAAAAGGCAGACCCTAACGTAGCAACTACTGTCTGCTGGCCATGGGAGACCCTCGTCTGCTCAAGAAAAGGGCATGCCATGTACCTGCATCACCACAGGCACCCTGGAAACCTTACATCTAGCACTCTGGCACCAAAGGGTTGTCCTCACGTACTCTTTCCGTTTCTCTCATGAAAAGACATTGCCCTTCCTGCCATGGTTAGGATGCTTTAAGGATGCTGTGAAATCTAAAGGATGTTACTTGAAGAGTGGGGCATTGCAGCACACACAGTGGTATATTCCCGATTCTGTGGTGTTCAGATAGATGCCACTAAACAGCTTTTAGAAAGGAAGAAAAAAAAAAAAGTTAATAATGCAGGTCTTTAAAAGCTCACCATCTGGAACAAGCATGTAGGAATCAGATTCAAAACAGGAGAAAAACCATAAAAAGAAGGCTTCACAGGGGGGCTTTGAAGAACAAACATTAGCAGCCTAAAGAAATGAAGGGGAGGATGCCTTTGGATTAATAGTGAAGACTACCCCCTGCCCTCAGAAACTTCGAGACCAGTCAGATACATAAATCATCCAGGTACCGAGGCCGGAGTCGTGACCTCCGAGGAACTTGTGAAATGTGCAGGATCCCAAAGACCAGGGCTCTGCTATGGTGTGCCACAGCTTCAAAGTAGCTCTACAAAGGGACTCTCCCCTCCCTGCATGGTGTGGAATTTGGATCTTTATTTTACAGATAAGGATTTGGGCATGATTCACAGGATTTAATCCCATGGTACATGCTCCACAGGCTCAGAAGCCCCGGCTCTGGGCTAGGGATGCTGGCCTTTCACCCACAATGCTACATGGCCTCCATCACTCAAGGAAGCACAGCGCAGGGACAATGTGGGTGGGTGATCTGGCACATGAGGGGTAATCTGGCTCCGGAGTGGAACGCTATGTATAAGACTTCAATGGCTAATCCAAATATGGTCAAAAAAAGGAGACTACGGGACAAAAATATGATCTCACTCCCCTCTGGAGAGTCCTCACCACTGCCACACAGACGGCTGAGCTGGCAGTAGAGGATCCCAGAGAATAAAAAGCAAAATATGAGAAGAATGCAGAATGTTTTTTCATGGGCAAACCAGTCTGGGTCAGAACAAAATCCACCCGGTTCAGTATGTTGAGTCTAACTTTCATCCACAGCAAGTTTGGGGAAAACCCGCTAAGCAACTGAGTGGTGGCAGCTCCCTGGAGCAGGTTTGGCCCTGCCCAACAGGCAGAGGAGGTGGCTTACCCTCGGACAGCATTGGCACTTTTCCTTACCGGTTCAGTTCCTTTTTCTCTGCTCTGGAGTCAATTTTTTTTTCCAGTCTGTAGCAGCAGTCACTTCAGCTTGTTTGGTCGGAGAGCCTGTGTCTTCAACTAAGATATAGAAAGACAATTGGTATTATTTTAACATCATTTTAACTTAGACTCTGTTGATGCTTTCCATCACCACCTCAATTCTCCCAATTCTGTGGGTACAGACAGAGCACAGGAGGGCAGTTCAGGACATAAGAGCAGGGGCGAGCGCAGGGCTTCGCATCTGCTTTCCATTCCGTGTGCTACGTACCGGAGCAGCTCCAGCACTCCACTTGGGAAGGCTCTGAACGGAAACGGGCACCTACGATCCAAGGTACCATCTGCTCTCCCAGTGCAGCCCTCTGTCCTGGCTTGGGATAACTGCTGCTCTGCTGGTGCTCCTTCCTCATCCCTGTGTGACACTGAAACCTTTTGGCAGTTTGCCTCTTGGAAACCCTCAGAAACCAGAACTAGTGCTCATTTATGGGCTATAAAGACCTCCACCATCCTCAGCCAGAAGCGGTGCTCAGAAGGAGCATTGGAAGAATGCAACACCTGCAGCCCATGAGAAACGGGGTCATAGTTAAGTGAGGGACACACAACAGGAGGGCAGAACTCACCCATCATGGTGCAAACTTCCAGCGATGCCTCTTGTGTGTCTGCACACACCATGCAGAACATTTATGGTGGTATGGGATTGGCAAAGAATTAATAGATTGGCTGAAAACCAATAAGTAGTTTCATTCCTTCCTGATCAAAAAGTCCGAGGTGGGGAACTGCCTTCACGCTTATCTCCCATCAGCGTAGGATCCTTGAAAAACAAATCAGCTCCTAAGTGATGAACCCTTGCCTGGACTCCTCTCGTGCAGTGCAGAGGTGATATTGGGAGAAAAAAGGAATTTGAAAATTACAGATTAATTATAAAAACTATAGTTTCGCCTCCCAGTTCAAAAGAAATACCTACAGCAGGCTGACTTAGCCCTTTCCAACCAGCTAGAGGACACCGGGGATGGACATGCCCTCCCCTTGCAGGGTGGCTCCTGCCCTTTCCGCCTCTCTCCATGCTCTGTGCTACCGTAGGTGCAGCTGCTGCTGGAGATCCACCGTGGGGAGCAGAGAAGGAGAAAGTGGTGGTTCCCAAGCATTCTCCAGAACAGATAAGCTGCTACATCAATGGGGTGGGACCGGGGAAGACGGCATCTTCCCTGGTCCCACCCCACTAAATTACACATCTAATCCATGCATTCAGCCTAAATAATTGCACCTTATAAAAGCAATGAGTGAAACACCCGCTTAACTAGCCATGCAGCATTTGCAGGTAAAGGTTTCAATCACTTCTTACCGAGAGGCAAAGAAATCAGCTTGAAAATTGAACGATCCCTGCAGCCGTAAATACGACAAAATCCTGTCGAGGCATTTGCTTGGCAGCTGTTATGGGTTGTTTTTTTAAGGAGAACAAGTCTGGCATTAGCATGCAAAAGTGCTCTTGCCCCTCTAAATGCATGTTACAGGCATTGCTTTTAGTTGTATTGATCGAGTAATTGCAAAGGCGATGTGCTATCTAAGTGGCTACTTGTTTACGCGGTGTGATTTGCAGTCCCAGCTGCTTTGACTTGGCCTACAAATACACCTGTAATAGGACACATATTTTAGTTTGGCTTCCTGCCCTTAAAAGGTAGACATAACTGCAAGTTAATGCTGTTGTCTGCTTTTTTTCCAGTAGCTCCATTTCTGATTCGGAATTAGTTTATCATTACTGAATGATGTGGAAGGAACAGTTTAGATTGCATCAGATAACAAAGCTAATAATGGCATTTAATACAAAATTTCTTTCTTTTTAGTCTAATTCTTTCAGCCTAACTTTAAAATCAAAAGTAAAAAATAGGGTTGTGTGACCAGTCCTGTGTATGCCCACCCTTACCCTCCTCCTGGCTAAGACGGTGAGTTCAGTGGCAGCTGAGGACACCCAACGCAGCGTATGGTCGGTACCACGGCTGTAACAAATCCTCTGCTCGGTTCCACGAAGCCGTGCACTGAAAGACGGAGGGCAGCAAGGCTCACAGGTGATCACACACGCTGTCTGTGGTGGCAGGGGAGAGGGGGACACAGAGCTGATTAATGGCTTTGTCCTATACAATAAGGCATGGTGCAGTGAAGCCAGAGTACCTGGATAAAAATCCTGGAGATGCGATGCCTGGGAGTCCTCAGCACCCTGATTCAGGATGGTAGGAGAGCAGCGCTGCTGGGCAGGGAGGAAAAGGATAATGTTTTTTCATATTCAGCCATTTGGGGAAGTGAAGATCAGAGACAGATCTTTCCAAACCCCTTCTAGCTTACCTCTACGGCATCTTTTATCACTCATTTAGCCATGGTTTAGGAGGGAATTGGAACACTTTAGGGAGCCTTTGGAGAGGAGTGACCCAATTTGACACTCCCCCAGTTCTGGCAAATGGCTTAGGGCTGGAAAGTGGTGGCAGGCGATAGTGTTGCTCTCGGAGCTCACTGCTGCTGTTTCTGGCTCAACTGTGGAAAAGAGGCATTTCCCTCCCATTCCTGGCCTTGCTCCCAGGCAGGGTTTGCTGCTGAGGAGGACAGGTAATCAATGGAGTTCTCCCTGAAGTATCTGGGAAATGAAGGAGAGTGAGAGAAAGTGATTAGTCCTGAAACTCGCATGTTTTAATGTAATTGACATTGATTTAACTGGTGCTTTTTTTAAAGACAAAATTCAATAAAAAATGAACTGTCAATATCTTCCTGGCAGCTCTCTGTTACTGGTACTATCCCACAGCGCAGCAGTTTCGAGGCAGTGGGAACCGACCCAACACAGGTCCGTTGCTGAGCCACCTTCCTAGGGCTCTGGAGGAGCGGAGTGGGGGCCTGGGCCATGCCCCCAGGGGAGCAGCGGGAGCAGAAGACATTGGGCTCGTCAGCCCTAGACTCGTCATCCTCTCTGTTATCCGGTTCATTGCAAGCAGCTCCTTTTAAAATGAGCGTGGTGGTGGAAGAGGCAGCTCCCATTCACCCTAACGGTTGCGATCCACATGTGAGGTGGTGCACTGGCAGATCAGATCCTCCATTTTTCCCTCCAACAGAAGCCTGAGCTGCAGTCCTCTGAACCTGCATGACAGGTCTTCCTCAAGCAGAAAACAACCACCACCACCGCGCCCCCCCGGCTGGAGGATCTTTGGTGCTGAGAAACCAAATCATTGTCCTGTCATGCCTGTAATATTGCCTCCCATGGTTACAGCACATACCAAGCTGCGTAGCTAGGCAGAGAACCGGCCTGCATTTCTCCCCATAGACTGTTATAAAAGCCAATTAGGCTGTTACTTAATTTTCCTCCTTGGTTGTTTTTTTTTTTTTTCCTCCCTTATGCACAAGGGGAAGCAGTTAAAACCTTCCCTAGCTACAGTATGTAAATTTTCAAGTAAATTCTCCCTGAATTGTAATTCAGCGGGTTTGCTGTTAAAAATGCCGCCTGACTCCAGCATACACAGAAAGTGCATCCAGGGAAGGGTCACTCTTCAAAAGCACAATTAGATGCGTGTAGATGGGGGAGAAGCATCTCTGCTCCTCCTGTCGCGTTACCTTGTGCCGAGGCAGCAGCCGGACCGTGTCTGTAGGCGGGTGAAGGCAAGAGTAGGAGGGAAGTGGTCACGGTCCAGACGATCCTGCTAATATTTATTCGGGATCTAAGCATTTCCCAGCCCAGGCTCTGCCTTGACTGACAGCTCTGGGGACAAGCAGAGCATCACATAATGCCTACGCTGGCAGACACGGAGCAGTCAGCCAGGAAGCGGCGAGGTGCAGAAATCAAATGAACCCTGTTCAAATTCAAACCTCTGCTTAAGCAGCCTTTGTTAATAAAGCCCCTCGACATTACTGAGTTTGGAAGAAAACACTGAAATAGCGATATTTTTATTTTATATGCATCTGTATGCAATCAGTTTTCCTCTGCTCATTTTGTCGTATGTCCCCTCCTACGGGATGTTCCTGTTGAAACGTGCGGGAGGTCAGCATACCAGGATTTGTCTTGGAGCTGTCACATGTAGTGGTACTGTGTGCCCAGGTCCCTGGAGAATGAAGAAAAGGGGACTGGCAGGAGCACTGGTAGGTAGGTTCTACCTGTGGCAGGATACATCTTCCCCACAGAAATCCTCACTGCTTTTGTCGGAGATGATTGCAGGAACTCCACATCCTTCCTCAGCAGAGCCTTCCCTCTCCGCTAACAGACTGGATACAGCTCCACAGCTAGTTTCTAGCTGCTCATATCTGATAAAACTCTGAGCTCCTAGTATATGGACATACTGTTTCCAAATGGAAATGCTATCCAAAGATGTTTGGTAATGCTCCGAAGCTGAACTCCAAAATGGATTTTTTTTTTTTTTTTGGTAGCAGAAATGCCAAAGCTTCTTGGAAAAGGGTATTGCTGGTTTCCAGAGGCACTGGGAGACTAACTGCAGACCTGAACCTCCCTGGTGCCTAAGGTGTTAAGGACTAGTTTAGGCAGGAGCCTTCTGCTGAAGTCTAAGGGTGGAACTTGAATAGAACAGAACAGAACAGAATAGTTCCAGTTGGAAGGGACCTCTAGGTTTGGTCCCCTGTGACCAATGATTTGAGCTGGATTAGACCAAATGCCCTCCACTGGTCCTGTTCAGCATAGATGATTCCAGGATTCTAAATGCTTTGAGAAAATTCTTGCAAAATGAGTGAAGACATGAATTCAAAGTGGAATGGGTATTTTGCAATCAGTCCTTGATAGAAAACTACTCTGCGATCAGGTCACCAGTTCAGCTCATTTTTGCCCATTTTGAAAAGTCGACATGCATTCTGGGATTCAGTGAGTGTACCAGCAGGGGCATCTACTGGGAAGCAACTCCAGGCTATTTCCCTGGATTGCCCTGTGCATCCTCTGTATCACACCATCCAAGGTCCTTGAGCCACATGGATGGTAATAATGCATTCCCCAAACTTGTGTGTGATCTCTTATCCCTCCTACCTCAAGGTGGTGAAGAACTGATGGTTCTTCTTCCACCCGCTGCTCGAAGCCTGAAAAAAGCATTGAATTATTTGGCAGCAACTGCCACAGCAGCAGCTTCCTGTAGGTTATCTTAATGGATTTATCATCCTGAACTAAGCCCTGACCATCTGTTCTAGCCTCTAATTACAAAAGAGAAAAAGCTAATTCACGATTGCATCATAAAGAAGTGAAATATAAGTGATTTAAGAGTAGGGTATGTCATGCTTCACACTCCGATTGGGAGAAATTCCTCTCCCTTCAATAGACTGATTTCCCTGATAACAGTTCGCCTCTTTCCCAGCAAACGGGAGTTCCTGAGGAGTAGGGCTCACCAGAACAGGTTTTATTCCTGTTATTCATTCATCTTAGATTTGGTTTTAAATTTGAGATTCACTGCGATGATCTTGGTTTGGAAGACAGGCAGAAAGCGGGGGACAGAGTGCATGCCCTGCTTCTTACCAATGTCCTCAAATTCTTTTGTACTGCCACTGTGGGAGCCACCAGTGGGAAGAATGATTTAGCTGGGATTTCAAGTTCTGATTCCCTTGGGCTGTGTGGGTAAAGACACCTGGCAACATCTGTTCTCTGGAAATCTTGTACCAAAAAA